TGGACCCGCCCCCGGAGGACAACATGCTCAACTCCGAGAAGACATGGGAGGCAGGGCCTGGGTCTTCACCAGAAGCTAACTGAGCTGCAGGATGGGAAGCCAGGGCCTTGCTCTGGCCCTGGGATGTGGGAAGCGCGTGGAAGTGGTGGTGGTGGTAGGAGGCTCACATTGACTCACTGTGCTTGGTTCATTTAACTCGTCTACCTCGATGAGGTAGATAATTTAACAATAGAGCTCACAGAGCTGATGTTTGTGGGGAAGACTTCTTCAGGTGTTCATGAGAACATTTCTAGAGGCTCCTAGCTCTTCCTCTGCCATGTGTAGCAACCAGGGCTTGCCTTTGTCTCCAGGCCTATCCTCACCACTTTCCCCTTCAATCTGTCCTTTGTAGCTCTTTGCATCCCTCTCCTAGGTCTTCACCCACCAGGATTGGCATGGATGCTCTGCAGCATCTATCATCCATTAGCCAGGCCAATGCCAACCAGCGGTCAGGGCGAGCCGGCCAAGGACGGGCTCCAGGTCAGTGTTTCAGGGTAGGAGCCCTGGTGCTAGGCCATGCTTTCCCCGGGGGCAAGCGCTGGGTTGTCTGAGCATGAACCTGGGCGGGGGCGGCAGGTATGGCTGGCCCTAGAGTTGGTCCCCCAAGGCTGGAAGCTGCTGGCAGGGCTGGCCGGCTGTTAGCGTCCTTTCATGCTACTATGCTACGAGGGAGGAAGGATGGGCTTTCCAGGAGCTCTGAGGTCTGAGGCCAACCTTACAGGATGGTAGGTAGAGCTATGGCAGGTAATTACACGCCTGCCTTCTTCAGAGGGTAGGTCTGGACAAATGATAGCCGTTGTTCTTTATTTCTATTGTTCTCTTTCCTGTTTCTTTTCTTTTTTTTTTTTTTTTTCCAATTAGCGACAGGAGTCTTGGCTCTGTTACCCCAGGGCTGAAGTGTGGTGGTACAATCACGGCTCACTGCAGCCTTGATCTCTTGCACTCAAGTGAGCGTCCCACCTCAGCCTCCCAAGTGGCTGAGATTGCAGACAGGCACCACCACACCTGGCTAATTTTTTTCATATTTTGTAGAGATGGGGTCTTGCTATATTGCCCAGGCTGGTATTGTGAACTTCTGGCTTAAAGCAGTTCTCCTGTCTTGGCCTCCCGAAGTGTTGGCATTAGAAGCGTGAACCACTGTGCCTGGCTCTCTGCCCCTTTTTTGTTCCAATTAAAAAAAAAATGTATTCACTATAGAGCATTAGTGACTATAGAAAAATATAAAGAAAATAAAACCCAGCCATGATTCTAGTCCCAGGCCCATTGGTTCCAGAAATGAAACAGATGGCTGGGCGCGGTGGCTCATGCCTGTAATCCTAGCACTTTGGGAGGCCGAGGTGGGCAGATCACAAGGTCAGGAATTCAAGACCAGCCTGGCCAATATGGTGAAACCCCATCTCTACTAAAAATACAAAAATCAACTGGGCGTGGTGGTGGGTGCCTGTAGTCCCAGCTACTCGGGAGGCAGAGGCAGGAGAATCGCCTGAACCTGGGAGGCAGAGGTTGGGCGATAGAGCCAGACTTCGTCTGAAAAAAAAGGAGAAATGAAACAGGTAAGAGGCCCCAGAAGGGCTGAATTGGCAGGCTGGAGTTTTGAATGGGTGGAAGTCAGTGATTCACTGAGGTAGGGGGTGGGGAGAAGAAATGAGAATGTCCTCCCTCCCTGTGGGATTCCATCTGTACTGGCTTGCCGTGGGGTTTCCTTGTGGTGAGAAGATGGGGTCTTCTCCCCGGCAGGCTCTACACCCAGAGCGCCTATAAGAATGAGCTCCTGACCACCACAGTGCCCGAGATCCAGAGGACCAACCTGGCCAACGTGGTGCTGCTGCTCAAGTCCCTTGGGGTGCAGGACCTGCTGCAGTTCCACTTCATGGACCCGCCCCCGGAGGACAACATGCTCAACTCCATGTATCAGCTCTGGATCCTCGGGGCCCTGGACAACACAGGTGAAGTGGCCCTGGGAGCCTCATGGGTGCTGGCGCTTGACTTCCCTCTTCTCTCTACTGTCCCATCAAATATCTGGGTTTGCTCATCTCTCCTAGGTGGTCTGACCTCTACCGGGCGGCTGATGGTGGAGTTCCCGCTGGACCCTGCTCTGTCCAAGATGCTCATCGTGTCCTGTGACATGGGCTGCAGTTCCGAGATCTTGCTCATCGTCTCCATGCTCTCCGTCCCGGCCATCTTCTACAGGCCCAAGGTGGGGCAGCGGCTGGCTCTCCTCTCTCCCCAGAGGGCTCAAGCAAGCGTCGGAAAGGGGAATGGCTTCTCTCTGTATAACTGAAATGGAACAGAGGGCGGAATCAAAGTTTCTGAAGAATGATTTTGCTGTTCTCGGTTAAGCAGGTTGGGGTAGGGGAAAGGAAGGGCTGGGCCAGTGGTTCTCAGGAAATGCTTTGGAAATTTGCAAGAGCATTTTTTATCTTCTGGTACGGTTGCTCTTGCGCCCTCATGTTTTAGAATAGACCTTTTTAAAAATTGTTTTTCTCAAATTGTCAGGGCAACCTGTTGACATGTTTGAAGTTCTATGTGTGGGTAGTTGGTAGTGTTAGAACCTCTGGGATGTGCTCAGTGGGCCTGGACCCCCCTGTACTTAGAGTGAAGGTTCTTTTTCCCTTCCTAGGGTCGAGAGGAGGAGAGTGATCAAATCCGGGAGAAGTTCGCTGTCCCTGAGAGTGATCATTTGACCTACCTGAATGTCTACCTGCAGTGGAAGAACAATAATTACTCCACCATCTGGTGTAACGATCATTTCATCCATGCTAAGGCCATGCGGAAGGTAGGGGTGGTGGATGAGCAGGATATTGGGATGAGGGGAGGGTCAGGAGGGAAGGAGGTCCCTCCTGGCATCTCGGTGTCCTGCCCTAGGTCCGGGAGGTGCGAGCTCAACTCAAAGACATCATGGTGCAGCAGCGGATGAGCCTGGCTTCGTGTGGCACTGACTGGGACATCGTCAGGAAGTGCATCTGTGCTGCCTATTTCCACCAAGCAGCCAAGCTCAAGGTGAGCCCAGGAGCCCAGTGGGCCGCTCCTGGCCTGATACCTGTATGAGGGCAAAGTCATCCTTTCTCCTGGTGCGGTTCTGCAGAGCTGGGCTTCCCCCAAAGGCCGTGTCAAGACAGTGTTAAGGGATGGGGTAGCTGCCCAAATGGGTGGTGTTTTCCTGACATGGCTACCTGTTGTGTCTCCTCCCCAGGGAATCGGGGAGTACGTGAACATCCGCACAGGGATGCCCTGCCACTTGCACCCCACCAGCTCCCTTTTTGGAATGGGCTACACCCCGGATTACATAGTGTATCACGAGTTGGTCATGACCACCAAGGTGAGTCTTTTCCGAGGCACTTGCATAACGCAGGCCCCCTGTCTGGCCAGGCTTTGAAACCCTTCACTGCCTTCTGGCATGAGCTTTTAGCCTGGGAACCTTAAGGCCACATGCGTTGCTTTGCGGGGTGTGTGAGGTTAGTTTTCATTTGGGGACTTGGGGAGGCTCTGCACAGGGTTGACCTCTAGACTGCAGTGACCTCAGCTGTGCGGGCAGGATCGTTCCCCACTTGCTGCTTGGGATGAGCAACTCCTCTTGGTGTCATCAGTAGGATTTTCAGAGAGGTTGGGCGTTTTCTCTTAGACACTAGGGGGCATTTTCTCAGGTGTGGAGGAGTTTGGATGGGAGTATCTGGGGTTTTTCCCTTCCTTGTTTCAGCCTTGCAGGGTCAGGGATTGGCCCCTTCCCATGTGACTCCTAATTATGGAACCACTCTGGGAGGGACATTGGCCCTCCTGTGACCCTCGCCTCCCTGCCCTTCTGCCCACAGGAGTACATGCAGTGCGTGACCGCTGTGGACGGGGAGTGGCTGGCGGAGCTGGGCCCCATGTTCTACAGCGTGAAACAGGCGGGCAAGTCACGGCAGGTGAGGTTCTGTGCTCCGCGAGGGTGCTGTTTGCTTGTGGGGTCAATGTTCCTTCCACTGGGTATTGCAGAAGTGTGATCATCCAACCCACTTACTTCTCTCTGCAGACATAAAGGCTGTGATCTAGCAGGCTGGTCTGTGATTCCCCACCACCCACTCCAAAAACCAAAAAACTCATTATTGAAAAGTCCAAATATTCATAAAAGTGGGAAAAACAGTACAACAGGCCACCATGAATTCAATGCCGTGCCTCTATAATTGTCAACATTTGTTCAGTTTCACTATTACTACCCCCATCCACACACACCCATTTTTTTTCTGGAATATTTTAAAGCTTATCTCATATATCATATTATTCATCCATAAATACTTGAGTATGTGTCTCTGACTAAAAGGACTTAAAATTTTAAATATAGCATCTGCGCCATTATCACTCATAAAGAAATGAATACTGAATGTCACCTAAGTCTTCAGTCCGCATTTGGATTTCTCCATTTGTCTCAAAGATAACTTCTTATGATCGATTGGCTTGAATTAGGATCCAGACATTGCAACTGGTTATGTGTGTTAACTGTTTCATTCTAGAACAGGCTCCACCCCACGCTTTTTCCATGACATTGATGTATTGGAGCCGCCAGGTCGTTTGTCCTGTCAGATAGTCCGTATGATGTATTTGCCTCATCGCTTGCTCACAGTGGTGTCAACCTGTGCCTGTGTTTCGTGCACTTGCTGTAAGCTGGTGATGAGTCCAGTCGCTCTATTAGATCCTGGCTCAGCTGTGTGTGGCAGGGATGCCTGCCTGTGGCGCTCTGAACCTCCTCTTAGATGCCTTCTGGAGGTGTGTGAGGTCTGGTGGCCCCACCTTTGCTGTTGGGAGGATGGATGAGGGGCCACAGTGGTGGCAGCCTGCCCCTTCCCTGATAGGTTTCCACTGCTCCTCCATCTCCTTGAGGTTTTAGTGTCTGTCGATAGCCGTCACCTAGATCCATATTTAGGGTTGCAAAATGGTGCTGGGCTTCGGCTTACCCCTTTCGTAGCATCATTCTCCCGACACCAGGCTCTCCTGCATCTTATGCCTGTCAGTTCCAGCCAGCAGGTAACATCTTCCCTGTTTTTCTGTACTTCCTGGCATAGTTGTGAACTTGATTTTTCAAAAAATAAGGAAATGTAAGTACTTCCTGGACTGAGGGATGACTGAGTTAGGACTGATTGTTCCGTGTTTTGAGTCAATCTTGAGTCAATGAAAAAAGCAGGCCTCAGCTGTAGAAGAGAAGGTAGCTTTGGTACTGGGGCAGGCAGCCATGTGGAGCACTGGGCTGGTGGATGCAGCGCCTGGTTTGTTGCAGGGATTTGGGTGCTGACGAAGCCTCCTTCCTTAGTGGTCCCCAGTAGGCTCAGCCAGGTCTGTCCCTCTTCAATAGGAGAACCGTCGTCGGGCCAAAGAGGAAGCCTCTGCCATGGAGGAGGAGATGGCGCTGGCCGAGGAACAGCTGCGAGCACGGCGGCAGGAGCAGGAGAAGCGCAGCCCCCTGGGCAGTGTCAGGTGAGCTCCAGCCTTGGGACTCTGGCTGGGGTGGCACCCATCCCAGGAGGCTGCCAGAGACCAGGCCCTGATGCAGGGTCAGGATTTATGGGAAGGTACATGTGTGAAGGCGAACTGGTGACAGAAGTTGCTTGTGCATTGGGTGGTCACATGGACAGGTGGGAGGTGTTCCCAACAGTTTTAAAGGGGCGACTGTACGCCTGCAACTCCCAGTCATCGGCAGGGATTCAGGGCCTGAGGTGGCCTGGAGTAGCAGAGTGGGTCTCACAGCTTTACTCACAAGCAAGAGGGTTGGAAACCACAGTGCAGTGGGGAGAAGTGCACCTTGGGCTTCTGTGTCTGTGCTGGTCCCCGGAGTTAGGCCAGACTTGACAGGTCGCAGGCACAGTCCTCCGTGAGACCACCCTCACTTCAGATACCAGCTGCAGGTGTGGACACCATCCTCACTTCCAGCCAACCCTCGACAAATCTGGGGATCCCTGTGGACCCCTGCAGGTTCAGTATTTGCTAGAATGACTTCCAGAACTCCGGAGAGTGCTGTACTTACCATTATAGATTTATTATACCAAAAAGGTACAAATTAAAGCAGCCAAAGGGAGAGATGTATAGAGCAAGGTCTGGGAGGGTCTCAAATGTGAAGCCTCGTTTGTCCTCAGGAACACGTCCCCACATGGCACACTGATGCATGACAGTATGACAGGTTATCGCCAGCCAGGAAGCTCACCTGAACTTCAGTGTCCGGAGTTCTTATCATCGGGGTTCGGTTCCGGTACTTAGGCATGAATGACTGAATCATCGTCACGTGGTAGCGCTCAGCCTCGAGTCCCCTCTCCTCTCCAGAGGTGAGGCTGATAGCACGTGGCTCAGAGCACCCGTGCTACCCCATGCCGAGAGGCCAGCCCGCCTTGAGTCATCTTGTTGGATAAGCTCAAGGGGCTCACCAAGAGTCACCTCATTAGCATAATCTCTCAGAAGAGGGCTGAGGGGCCCCATGAATAGCAGACACTCCAGTCACTTGGGAAATTCCAAGGGTTTAGAGTTGCCTCCCAGGCACTGGGGACAAAGGCAGGCTGCTGTGCAGCTGGAGTGGCGGCAGTGAGGTGGAGGGAAGCTGCCTTTGTAGCTCCCCTAGGGGCTGTGGGAGGAGTTGTTAAAATCTGATCTAAAGCATTTCGGAATGAGTGAGCTTCCTTGATTACATCGCCAGTCGAACATGGGGGGCCAGTCGAACATGGGGGCGGCAGGGGAGTGGGAATGTGCCCGGGAGGAGATCCCTCGGCCCCAGAGCTTCCCACCACGGGTTAGGAACAGTAAGTCCTGGGGCTCTGCATCCTCCTGCCCTCCCTGCTGGGGGTGAGGGCACGGTGTTTCCTGATCCCTCCTGCTGTGTCTCCAGGTCTACGAAGATCTACACTCCAGGCCGGAAAGAGCAAGGGGAGCCTATGACCCCTCGCCGCACGCCAGCCCGCTTTGGTCTGTGAGCTGAGGCTGTCCCCAGAGAGGATGGCAGCAGGTATTGGGTCCTGAGCCCTCTGGCGGGAGCCCTGAGGCTGTGGACAAAGCCCTTTCATCTGAGGACTTTCATCTGTGCACATCACGGCCCCCTAGGGCAGTTCCTGCTGGACTGGACTCTGGCAGAGGAGGTGGAGTTCTTCCATGCAGGAGTGTGGTATGGCAGGAGCCAGGCTGCAGAGCATCCGAGATGCTGCCGGGAGGTGGCTGGACCCATTGCATCCAAATAAACTGACCCAGGACGCTTGGCGTATGTGTGACTTGGTTGTGGCTGTGTCTTTTTTAATCCTTGTGTAAAGCAGCAAAAAAGACCTAAAGGGAATTGTAATTTGGTTATAATTCAGGATTTGGAAATAAATTTATTATTTGTAAAACATGACTGCATGTCTGACTTTTTCCTTCACCCCCTTAAATCATGTAGTAAAGGTGGGGGAGGGGGGCAGAAGCCTGCCCTGACTTCCCTTGCATGGGTCGTCCTGGATCCACCCTTATTAATGCACAAGGCAGGCCGAGCTCTGAGGGTGCCCAGCTGCTCCTGAGACTGGGGGGCAATGGCAGGTTCGCCTTGATGGCCAGGTCGTGGGAGGGAGATGCGCAGGAGTCCGCCCCAGCCTTCCCCGGCGTGGTCTGGCTGCTTGAAAGAGGTCCATGTGATTGCTCTGGATGGCAGAGGGTAAGGGTTGTCCATTGACTGAAAAACAGTGCAAAATGTAGCTTATTCATTTTCATGTAAAAGGTGACCCTTACACCAGAATCACTAGTCTTTTCTCTTTTTACGCAGTCTCTGAAGTCCGAGGTGGCTTTTTGGGGGTTTGGCCCTTTGCACTAACCATGGTCTGTATGCTGTGATTCCTCTGGGCCGGGCTTCTGCCAGGTGTGCTGGTTGGCAGGTTCTGTGTTGGGGCTGAGTCACAGACAGGATTGGGGCTCAGAAGCACCTTGATACCAGGCCAGTGCCAGCGTGAGCCCTGTGGTGCGTAGCCTGCCGTGCTGTTCTGACCCCTTTGTCCCTCTGTTCCTGGGATTTGCATTTCCATGTTATAACTCAATAAATGTTAAAATGTAAGTCAATTTTGTGGGTGAGCTCAGAGGCCTAGCTTTGCCAGCCAGCACCAGCTACCACTTCTGCCTCCATTCTCCTTACCTCTAGCCCCCTTGGGGGAATGCAGGTGGAAATGGGCTTTTCAGGGCTCCGTAGTGAAGAGAGGGCTGCCAGCACTTTGCCTAGGAAGCCTTCTAATCTAGGCCCTAGGTTGGAGGACTAGGAGAAGTTGGCTGATGTGTGACCTATTTACAGACTCAGGCAATGGAGTAGGAAAAACATTGACGTTCCAGTTAACAGTTATTAATAAGCTGTGACCTTGGTCAAAAACTCACTAAGTCCCTTAGATAAAAAGGTCAGAGAGGCTATTAAAACATTGGGTCCAACTCAACCTTCTTATTTAAAAGCAAGGAACACCTGGTGAAGGATACTTGGTACATGTGGGCGCTACAAGAGGAATGGAGGGGTCCCCTGCCCGCAGTAGCTCCCCTTGAATCTGCCGCGGTACTGGAGCTTCTGTTCGAGGCTCTGTCTCTTCTTGTGTTTCCAGTAGTTTTTTAAATTACTGACCCTTTCCATTCAGATCTTCCTTAAAGTTCCTTCCAGCTTTAATATTCTGATTCTGTCTTTTCTTCAGATGGCAACTGATTGTTTTTTTAGAGGTACAAAAGCATACCTATGACAACAGCATGGTCTCTAACTAGCACCACGGCCCCATAGTGGACTCCTGAGTCTGGCCGACACTTGTTATTTTCTGTATTTTTTTAGTGTAGCCATCCTAATGGCTGCTATCTCACTGCAGTTTTGATTTGCATTTCCCTAATAATTAGTGGTATTGAGCATCTTTTCATGTGCTTATTATTGGCCATTTGTTTATCTTCTTTGGAGAAATGTCTCAAGTCCTCTTCCCATTTTTTTTTTTTTGCATTGGTAACTTTTTTTTAAATTTTAAATTTCAACTTTTATTTTAGATACAGAGGGTACATGTGCAGGTTCGTTATATGGGTATACTGTGTGATGTGGAGGTTTCGGGTATGGATCCCATCACCCAGGTAGTGAGCATAGTTCCCAACAGGTATTTTTTCAACCCATTTCCCTCTCTCTACTCCCCCAAACCAAGTAGTCCACAGTGTTTATTGTTTCTATATTTATGTCCCTGTGTGCTCAATGTTTAGCTCCCACTTATAAGTGAGAAGAGGTGGTATTTGATTTTCTGTTCCTGCATGAATTAGCTTAGGATTATGGCCTCCAGCTGCATCCATGTTGTTGCAACGGACATGATTTCATTCTTTTCCACGGCTGCGTAGTACCCCATGGTGTGTATGTACCACCTTTCCTTTATCCAGTCCACCACTGCTGGGCACCTAGGTTGATTCCATGTCTTTGCTATTGTGAATAGTGCAGCAATGAACATGTGAGTGCATGTGTCTTTTTGGTAGAATGATTTATTTTCCTTTGGGTATACACCTACTCATGGGATTGCTGGGTCAAATGGTAGGTCGGTTTTAAGTTATTTGAGAAACCTTGAAACCTTTTTTCACAGTGGCTGAAATAATTTACATTCTCACCAGCAGTATATAAGCACTGCCTTTTCTCACCAGCCTTGCCAGCATCTGTTATTTTTTGACATTTTAGTAATAGCCATTCTGACTGGTGTGAAATAGTATTTCATTGTGGTTTTGATTTGCATTTCTCTGATGATTAGTGATGATGAGCATTTTTTCATATTTTCGTTGGCTGGTTGTATGTCTTCTTTTGAGAAGTGTCTGTTCATGTCCTTTGCCCATTTTTAATGGGGTTATTTGTTTTTCGCTTGATTTGTTTAAGTTCCTTGTAGATTCTAGATATTAGGCCTTTGTCAGCTGTGTAGTTTGTGACTATTTTCTCCCACTCTGTAGGTTGTTTATTCTGCTGATAGTTTCTTTTGCTGTGTAGAAGCTCTTTAGTTTATTACGTCCCTCCTCCCAATTTTTGTTTTTGTTGCAATTGTTTTTGCTGACTTAGCCAAAAATTCTTGGCCAAGGCGGATGTCGAGAACGATTTCTTTTTCTTTTGAGATGGAGTCTTGGTCTGTTGCCAGGCTGGAGTGCAGTGGCTTGATCTCGGCTTGCTGCAACCTCTGCCTCCTGGGTTTAAGCGATTCTCCTGCCTCAGCCTCCCAAGTAGCTGGGACTACAGATGAGTGCCACCATGCCCAGCTAACTTTTGTATTTTTAGTAGAGACAGGGTTTCACTATGTTGGCCAGGATGGTCTCGATCTGTTGACCTCGTGATCCGCCTGCCTCGGCCTCCCAAAGTGCTGGGATTACAGGTGTGAGCCACCACACCTGACCTGATAACGATTTCTTTTTCTTTCTTTTTTTTTTCTGAGTAGGGTCTGCTCTGTCCCAGGGGAGTGCAGTGGCGCGATCTCGGCTCAATCAAAGCTCCGCCTCCCAGGTTCACGCCATTCTCCTGCCTCAGCCTCCCTAGTAGCTGGGACTACAGGCACCCGCCACCATGCCCAGCTAATTTTTTTTCATTTTTTTAGTAGAGACGGGGTTTCACCATGTTAGCCAGGATGGTCTTGATCTCCTGACCTCGTGATCTGCCCGCCTCGGCCTCCCAAAGTGCTGGAATTATAGGCGGTAACGATTTCTATAGTTTGAGGTCTTGCATTTAAATCTTTAATCCATCTGGAGTTGATTTTTGTATATGGTGAAAGATAGGGGTCCAGTTTCATTCTTCGGCATATGCTCCGCCCATTTTCAAACTGGGTCGTTTGTTTTCTTGAGTTTTAGGAGTTCTCTATATATTCTGGATATTAGCATCAGAGATATGATTTGGAAATATTTTCTCTTATTCTGTAGGTTGCCTTTTTACTCTGTTGGTATTGCTTTTGATGCACAAAATTTTTAAAGTTTCATGATGTCTAATTTGTCTATTATTTCTTTTGGTGCCTGTGCCTTTGGTGTTATACCCAGGAAATCACTGCCAAATCCAATGTCATGAAGGGTTTGTTCTATATTTTCTTCTATGAGTTTTATAGTTTTAGTGGCTACATTTAGGTCTGTGATTCATTTTGAGTTAATTTTTGTATATGGTATTAGGTAAGGGCACAGCCTTATTCTTTTGCATGCAAATATTCTGTTTTCCCAGCACCATTTGTTGGAAAACAAAATAAAAAACTATCCTTTCCCCATTTCATAGTCTCAGCATCCTTGTCAAAATTATTTGACCATATATGTGAGGGTTTATTTCTGGGATTCTTCCTAGTCTATTCCACTGGTTTGTATGTCTGTCTTTTGATTTATGTGGCAGTACCACACTATTTTGATTACTGCAGGTTTGTAGTAAGTTTTGAAATCAATAAGTTCTTCAGCTTTGTTCTTCTTTTTTGAGACTGTTTTGGCTATTGGGATCCCTTAAGATTCCATGTGAGTTTTAGGTTGAGTTTTCCTATTTCTGCAAAAAAAAAAAAAATAATAATAATAATAATGGGGATTTTGACAGCGATTACATTGAAACTGTAGATCACCTTATGTATATTGACATCTTAATAGTAAGTCTTTCAATCCATGAACATGGGATATGTTTCTGTTTATGTCTTCTGTAATTTCTCTCAGTAATGTTTTACAGTTTTCATTGTACAAGTCTTTTACTGCCTTGGTTAATTCCCAAGTATTTGTTTATTTTTGATGCTATTATAAATGAAGTGAAATTATTTTTATAATTTCCTTTTCAGATTATTAATTGTTATATAAACCTGCAGTTCATTTTTGTGTGTTGACTTTGTATCCTGTTACTTTGCTGAATTCATTATTAGTTCTACCAGGCTTTTTTTGGGAGGGGAGGTGGTCTGTAGAGTCTTTACGGTTTTTTACATATAAGATCTGTGAACAGGCATAATTTTACTTCTTCCTTTCCAATTTGAATCCCTTTTATTTCTTTTTCTTGCCTAATTGCTCTGGCTAGAACTGCCAGTACAATGCTGAACAGAAGTGGCAAAGTAGGTGTTCTTGCCTTATTCCTGATCTTAGAGGAAAAGCTTTTAGTCTTTCACCATTGAGTATGATGTTTGTTCTGGGTTTTTCATATGTGGTTTTATTATGCTGAGGTAGTTTCCTTCTAATCCTCATTTGTTGAGTGCTTTCTAAAAAAAAATTCATAAAAGAGTGTTGTTGTAACCATTTCTTTTTATTATCAGCTGTTCTAACTACTTTTTTAGGAACTCAATTCCTTGGTTATTTCTTAACAAATTATAGGCAGGCAACACTCAGTTTCCCTGCCCTTCCTCCTATCTTTAGAGAAAGTGCACTTCTCTAAGTCCATCCCCTGTACTCAGCTAGGTCTTCTGC